CCCGTTTTATTGCGTTATCTACGTGAAATTGTTAAAATCCGGGGGAAAAAAAACCACGTAATTTTGTGGGCCGTGCCCCCTGTGTGTGTGTTACAGGGCGAACGTGACCGTCACCGACCTGGAGGAGCTGCAGGAGCTGCTGCTGGTTAATATCGAGAACAACAAACACCTGGTCACAGGGTCAGTCCGAGCCAAGGTACTGAAATGGTTTGTATGAGCCTTTTAACGTTTCTCTTCAGCTTTAAAACAGGGCTTCTGCTCTTTTTAGAGGAAAGCTCGGTGTAAGGGCGTAGCAGCTGACTTTACACCCAGCCCTTTAGCATTGTGTTCGTACTGAAGCTTGTTTTCATCTCTTTTTTTCTTTAGGGGTGAAGATGTAACTGAATTTCAGCCTCCTCCCGACTATATACTGATGGCTGATTGCATTTACTATGAGGAGGTAAATGAGGATTTTGCAAAACTCCCGTGGAAAGCGTCTTTGGGAGGGACGTGGGCTGAGTGTGAGAAGCGCTCACGTGAAAACACTGTTCTTGCATCTTGGTCCCTGTGGGTTAGAAGAATATGTGGAACAAGAACGGAAAGTGCATTTTTAACAGATTCAAGGCTGTTTGAGATTCAGCCAAAGACGTTTTATGTTCAAAAAAACCCCGTAACTTAGTTGCACTTGCCCCCCCCCCCTTTTTTTTTACATTGGGAGTGAAGCATGAAGCAAAACATGATGGCTGACAGTTGTGAAGTGTTTAATGCATTGGTAAATGTAATTTAATAGTGCCACGTCTGTGCTGTTTGGGTTCTCCTCACGCTTCCCTTGGGAAAGCAGAAGGAGAAATCATGCTCCACCTAAGCAGTTGGTGTAGTCTGCCCCATCTCTTCAGCTGGAGCTCTGTAGGATGTACATAGAAAAGGCAAGAAAAGGGGAGTGGCTTGAGGAACCCCGTGTCCCAGTGCCCTTTCCGTGGTCTTACCAACCCTTCGCATTGGCTCCCTGCGTGGTGGTCCTATTCCCATACGTAGCGTTCAGGGTCTGAGCCATCTTCCAAGAGTGGTTGAGAAAACTCTGACTTGTGAAACATGTCAGGACATAGTCATCGTGTGCCTCAAGGAGATGCCTGCTCACCAGCATGGGGTGGTTTTGATACTGGTCCGGTTTTCTTGGTCAGTCTGTGAAACTGTTCTCCTAGGCAGCCTCCCTTTCTCTTCTGCTTTCCAGCTTGCCCCAGTGTTCTTTTTGTCCCAGTTAAAGTACTAAAAATAACTCCCTGAAAAGCAAAGCTGGAAAGTGCTCTCTTGGGTGAAGACTTTCTCTAGTTAGAGGGTATCGTACCAGTAAAATGAACTTGAAATCTAAGTGGGAAATAAATACTTAACCTCTTTTGGGCAGTCATTAGAACCATTGCTGAAGACCCTGAAAGACCTTACTGGCCCTGATACACGTGTATTGTGCTGTTATGAGCAGAGGACTATGGGAAAAAATCCTGAAATTGAGAGAAAATACTTTGAGGTAAGTGTTTTTAACGTTTGCTTTTTGCACACTAGGCAAGTAGCTTGGGTACGGGAGGTCTCTGTTGGGTCAGCTGAGCATCAATGGCAGTCGCCACACGCACCTGTTCACGTTGGCTGCACAAAGTAGAGTTTGTAGCAGCAGCAGCATGTTTGTCTTTAGATGGGGCAGAAAACTTGGATGGCGGCTCTTGAAGTTATGGTCCAACTCACCAGTAGACAGTTTCTGAATACTTACTCAGCTTTCCTTCCCCAAAGCGTCGCTATGTGGCAAAACGGTCTTTCTTGTAGGAGTGAATTAGTCGTCGGGTGCTGCCTTCCTTCTGCAGTGATTGTCTTGACGTTACCAGAGGTTATTGGGAGGATTAAGAATTAGTCTGGTGAAAACTGATTTTCTTTTAGCATGTTCCATTGAAAGTGGGGGGGAAAATGCAGGTAAGGTTTTCCAGAGTAGCTCAGGAACTCAGGGCTGTGCTGAGCAATGCAGCTGCTTTTGCACAAATTTCCCCCCTCTGTGAGAGAGCATTAATAGGTGGTAGAATTAAATAATCCAGCTGTATCTTCTGTGCAGGTGAAGAGAAGGAGCACAGGTAACAGCCACATCCCTCCTTAGGTTTTGGGGGCGATGCTCAGTGCAGGGTCTAACTCCGCACCTGTTACACATAATAGCAACGCTGCAAAAAAGAGGAAGGGTGAGAATTCCAGGGCTGTTTGTGTGTGTTAATAAAAGCACCTCTTTGGTAATTAGCCGTGCCTCGAACTCTTGTGGGGACCTGACCCCGAGGAGGGTTGCTGTAATTGAGATCAGCTCTGATGAGGTGCCGCTCCCACAATAAACACAATAGGTGTAGGTGTTTCTGGATGTTTTTGGCTTTCTTGGAATTTGTTTCCTTTCGTAGCCTCGCCAGAGTTCAGCCAAGTCAATCTTCTGAGTGTGTTGCAGAGGCGATGCTGGGTTATTTTAGCCTATTTTTTTCCCCCCTCCCCTCCAGCTGACAAGGTTGGCACACAGAGGCAGACGCTGTGGTTTGGCTTCGTGCTCTGGGGGCTGGGGGGAGCCAAAAGTTTTGTCACGAGCTTTTTGATGTTTCTTAAATGTTGCAAGGTGCCTGTAGCTTTGAAGTGGCACCAGAGGAGTTAAGAGGGTAAATTTGCTGCGCAAGGGATTGAATAACAGCTGGCAGGTTTGTAGAGGCCTTAAGTGTGGTGGTTCCAGCCTCTGAAGGCTTCTTGTCCTCGTGCGAGATCTCCGGGGACCTTTTTAACCGAAACATGTTCGGTTCAAAAGGGCAGCCGGCGTCATCTGAATTGTTTTGTGCGTTCTCTGATAACCAGCTGCTTCAGGTGGACTTTGAGCTGGAAAGAATTCCCCTGGATAAGCACGATGAGGAGTACCGCAGTGAAGACATTCACATCGTGACCATCCACAGGAAACAAACGGTACGTGGATCGATGGAGCAGACAGTTACGCGTGAGGAATGTATTTTGCGTATCGTGCTGATACAACACGTGGGTCCTGTGCTTAACCAAAAAAATCCGTACTTAGTTGTTTACTGGGTTTTTTTTAATCTCTTCACAGAATTTTCCGTCATGAGATCTTTGGCCACAGTATCTGTCCTCTGGCAGCGGGTAGAGCTCTGGAGAAGAGGGAGAGGGTGTAAAATAACACCGCCAAGGGACTGTCTCCAGTGTGGTTTGTGACTCATCTACAGAAGACGGCTTCTCCATGGAGGGCTTGGCACGAGGCACCAGAAGAAGTGCGCTCATCAGACTTGATCCCCTCATAGCGCCTTCCAAGGGGACGGATGTGAGCCACTGACTCAGCCACGGGCTGAGGCGGGGGGCGGGAGAAAAAGGGGAGGCAGAAAACGGAACAAGAGCTTCCCCTGGAGCGGCGCTGGGCACACCTTCTGGTGACCTTTGCTGTGTGGCCGCGCGCTCGAGCAGCGGGCGCCTTGCCGAGCGCTCGCGGGGCAGATCTGAGGATGCCCCGCCCAGGGCTCCACGAGGAGAACACTCCACAGGCGGGCTCAGTCGAGCGGTCCTGCGTCGCCACTCAATAAAACCTTTGCACTTCAGTTGGGTCTCGGATGGTGGGGTTGATTTTTTTAATTTTTATTTTAAATTTTTTTTTTTTAAGCCTGTGGTTTCTGTGTCATTCCTGCGTGGCAAAAGTCCCAGGAGCAGGGGCTGCCATGGTGGTAGGTACCGCACAGATAAAACGCGCAGAGGAGTCCCTGTGAGAAATAATTCTTCCTTTAGATTTCCCCCTCCTGGCGTGAGGATCTGCAGTGTTGAAGTTTGATGCTTTTGACACCGGTGAGCAGGCACGTTGTTGCTGTTGGTGTTCCTCACCAGGCTGCCTCACGTTGTTGCAAGGTGATGACTTTGAGAGGAGGAAGTCTCAGTTCTGCTCCGCGGTCTGCTCTGCGCTGTCCCACAGCCCTGACTGCACCCGTGAAAAGTAGGTGTGCTGCAATTGAGGGGCCGCTCAGCCTGAATTCTGACGGCCTTTTGTAACTCCTGCTTCACCCTGTGCGCAACATGAGTGGTCCCCGCTTCAGAAACCCGCACATTGGAGCTAAATCTGCTGAATTTTTAGAAAACCTCGGTGGTTGGCTTTTTGGGGGAGCTTTGTTGGGAGGCAGCAAGGCGCTTCGGGGAGCTGCCCTGGCTCGCAAAGCACAGCAGCGACGATTAGCGAAGGCACGGTGACGCGAGAACGTAATTTGTTGTAACTGTGCTCGTTATTTGTTGACTGGTTATGAAAAGAGCTCCTTAATTAACCGGTGGCCTGCAGGAAGGTATTTGCAGCTGCCTTGATGCCAACGTGGCTTCTCCGGGTGGAAACTCGTTCGAAAGAGTTGTCCCAGGGCGTGCTGGAAGGGTAGAGCGAGAGCCATGCCAGTTTCTGACAGTGTCTCTGCAGGTGCAGCCTCTTCGCTGACTGCAGCCCCCCTGGGATGGGGGTGCAGCAGCATTTCCTGGGGGTTTGTTACTGAGGGAATAATTGCGTTTTATCTACGGGGTGCATGCTTTTCGCACTTCCTTTTATCTGCAATCTCGAATCTTGTTCCGAAGAGAAAAGGGAGGAAGTCGTGCTTTTTCCCGTGCGCAGCCGCTGGCTGCTCCTCTGTGCCCTCAGCTCTGCGCCTGGAACGCTCAAGTCTTGAACGTCGTCGGGCGAGAGGGACCTTGGGGAGTGGGGCAGGGGTCCCGTCGCCCTCCGTGCCATCTCCCCATCGTCGCCTGGGCCTGCCGCAATGAGGGATGTGAAACCGAACGCTTCTGCTGCCGCTGCTTGGTTCCCGCCGAACCGGCGGCGAGCCGGGGGGGGGGCGCCCCCCGCCTCTACGGCTGCTCCCTGGGACCGCCAGATAAAATGGCTGCTTTTTTAGGGGTGAAAAAAGAACTTTAAGGAAAGGAAGTTGGCGTCCTTCTGCCAGTAGGGCCAGCAGCTGCTGTGGTGTGGCCATTACCACTTGGAACCAGGAGCAGGCGTGGAGCACTCAGAGGGAAAAGTGGTTGCGAGGGAGACACTGGTCCCGCTGCTCCCCGGCCCCTGCTCTCCCTCACCCGTCCCGTTTGTCCCCGTTGGTTCTCTGTCCCAGCCCTGTCCCTTTGAGGGGAGCGTGTGTCGGTGCTGCTCCAGTTTTCTTGGGTAATTTCAACACCACGAACGATGGGAAACGTGCTGTGATTCCCACAGGAGAGCCGTAACGCTCGTGTGCTGGGGTGGCGTCTCCTTGCACCCGGGTGAGCCCACAGCCTTGGAGGGTGGCTCGTTCCTGCCTGGTCCCTCCGGTGACACCCGTGTCTCAGTGCCATCATCCTGTGGTCCCACTGGGGCTTCGTTGGGCTGCTTGCTCTTTGTTATAACGAAGCTTTTCACTTCCACTTGGATCAGTGACAAGCGTGCCTGGACGCGGTGAAGGATGAAGCGCAGTGTTTAATCCCAGCTCGGCACCAGCCACGCAAATCGCCAACTGCTTCTTGTCATGATACTGGTCACAACACAGCTCTGAAACCTGCAGGACCTCGGGAAATTCCTCCTTGATGCTCTGCGATTTATGTATTATTTTTTTCTTTTCTAGGAAAAGCGTGGGACAGCTGCCGGTGTCTGGATCCAGCTATCCGTGCGCAATTCCTGTGTGTCCCCTGGCATTGCTGCAGAGCCCCCGGGCACTCGGTGAGGCTGGGACCCACACCCACGCATCCCACGGGGCTGGTCCCTTTGCTTGGGAAAATCTGTCCTCCGGAGCTGTGTAGTCATTTTCTGTGACATGTAATCCTGGACAAATGGATTTTCCTCTTAGAAAATGATACTTCTTGCCTGTGGCATTAAGAGATAGTGTTAGAAACGGCTTTTTATTACGGTGGATCTGCTCCTGCTCCTCTGTAGATGAGCAAATGGTTCGGTTAAACTGTTTCTCTGGTTCGTTTGGAGGGAGCAGATGCCCCCAAGCCTGCAGCCTCGCAGCCTTTGCCTCTTCCCCTGGCTTCCGACACGGTTCTGTCTGCCGAGGGCTTGCTCTGGGGGCCTTGTCCTGGCACCCCCAGGGTGGGGAAGTCACAGGACCCTATCTCGTGGTTCAACGGTTACCTCTCACATCCTGAAACGAAAACAGTGTATTTTCTGCTGCTGAACAAACAGTGAGGTTTTTTGCGACAAAGAGGCCAGCGAGTGGCTGCTCCTGGCTGGCAGGCGACCTCAGCTGTGGTTTTCAGCTGTGAGAGTGAGTCTTTGGGTGCTCCCAGCCCCGGGGAGCGACCCAGGACCTCGGCAGGGTGATGGTGCAAGTGGTTCGTGTTGGTGTGCCCCTTCAGTGGAGGATCTTGTTCTCATCCCAGCCACTGTCCTGTGGGAAGGGGGAGGAGGACACCGATGAGCAGCGAGAGCGGTGGCTGCAATTCTGGCAAATGTTTTTCTGCCCTTTGGAAGCATTTCCAGACGATGCTTCCTGCTGCATCTTGGGATGGATGTGTCCACCCCACGTTCACCGTGGGAGATTTCTCCTGTCGCTGTGAGACCTATGGGCCTGAGACTCTGTGGCCCCAAAGCTTCACCTCCTTCTTCGTGCCTTTGTGTGTATCAATCATTTCTGCCTTCATGAGCTCCCGAGCGGGATGTGAGGGCAGTTGAGGGCTTGTCAGGGTGATTTGGAATGAGTCCCTGCTTTGGCTTGCTTATTTTTTTTTTATTCCTATTGCACTTCTGGGTTTACTTTTATTTCTTTTTAAGGGAGAAGACAGCAGTGGGTGGGTGGGAGGGAGGTGGGGACTCCTTGGGGAAGCAGAGAGGCTGGAGATGACTTTTGCCAGCCTGGGATGTGGTCCCTGGTACCCTGCAGGCAGCCCCACGCTGGTGACCAGTCCGAGGCCCCATCCCGACACGTCCCCGTCCCTGCTGAGCCCGCGCTTCCCATTGTGCCCGAAACCTCTGACTCATCGATCTCGCAGCCGGGGCTGAGCTGCTCCTCTGCGGCGCGTGGCGGCCCTTTCTGCCCACCTCACCCGTGTTTCTGTTCCTCTCCACTGCGGACAGAATCATCCGCTTCTCCTCCGGCTTTGACGGGCCCCGGAAGCCCAGCCCTCCTCCAGCTCAGCTTCAGCACAATCCTGGCCTGAGGACATTGGTCCAGGAGGTTATTTCACCTCTGATTAAGACCCGTGCTGCCCCAAGGACAAAAACCCTGCTGTCGTGTCCGTGATGGGAATGGAGGTGACCCCAGGCTAGTTGCTCTCCAGCTTGCCACGTCCTTGCCTGCATGTTTAGACCAGTTTTTATCCGCAGAGTGATGCATGGACCCATTCCTAGTTCAGGCTCAGGGGCATCTCCACTTGAAGCTGCAGATGAAGCCATCAGTGACAGTTTTCTCTACATGATTTGGCAGAAACTGCATGTTTTGCTCCCTCTGCCCAGGCTGGCAGCTCAGGCTTGACCCAGGCGATGTGTGGTGGCCTCTGAGAGCTGGCAAGAACATGTGAAGGCACGTTGTCTACGCATTCTTATGGATTCCCAAACTGCAGCCACCCTCGGTGAGTGCAGGTTACTGTAAGATGCCTTAAATAAAAATAAAACTGAGGAGTAACTCATCATGTGTTTTGCTGAGCATTGCGGAGGAAGGAAAATCACCCCTGCCCTGCCCAGTGGGGTGTCCTGGAGGGGCTTTGGTCTCTCCCTCCTGTTGATCCACGACTCCCAGCCCAGGGCGGGGTATGAACTCATGAGCCGGAGGCCACCAGGCAGAGGTAAACCCAGCTGCTGGGACGAAGCAGCTCCCAAAAGCCATGTTTGGGGAAGCAGTGTGTCCCTGCCCATGTGTGCCGTGGAGCTGCTGCCACCTCCAGCCCCTTCCCCCTGCTCCCAAAACCTCCTTGTGGTGACATCCATGGTGGAGAGCACGGCTCAGCTGGCCCCCACCTGCTGCTGCTTCGCTGTATGAGAGTGCTAAATCCAGCACGGTTGGTTTTCAGGCAGTGCCTCGCTTTCTTGAGGAGTGCAACATTTTCTGGGGAGGGTACCACTTTTTTTGCAGTGTACATCATTTTGGGGGGAGCGCACTGTTTCGGGGTGAGCGGCGTAGGTTCGAGTGTTGCTTAGCTGCCTTGAGTCACAGCTTTTGTCCACCACACACAGGACCTGGAGACCTCCAAGAGCTGCAGCATGAGAAGAAGCCAGGATGGGGTAAGTGGTAGCTGGGAGCCCCATGGGAGCCAGGAGACCCCCATGGGAGCTGGGAGGGTCCCTTCGTCCCATCCTGTGGCCAAGTCCCTCCTGCACATTCAGTTCTTCCTGCCCCAGCACATGCAGGAGCTCCCTGGGTTGATATCGCAGCCCCCGCCTCATTTTCTCATCCAGCCTCGTTTAGGTGCCCAATTTCCTTTTCTGATTTGAATGCAAAGAAAGAGTTAAGCAGCTACAGGCTCGTGTGGATTTGGGCCAGATATTTAAAGATCCACGGCTGGGAAAGGAAAGGGGAGGTGTGATA